GTGGTGATTGCTGCCTCCTGTACAATGTCACGAACCTCCGTCCATAGTTCTTCAGGCACTCTATCGATCAAATCTAGACCCTTGAATCTATTCTTCACCTCTACTGTATATTCATCAGGGATGCGATCTAGGTCAAACCTGAATGGCCTCGTGGTTTTCCCAATTTTCTTCAGTTTAAGTCTGAATTTTGCAATGAGTAGCTCATGATCTGAGCCACAGTCAGCTCCAGGTCTTGTTTTTACTGACTGGATAGAGCTTCTCCATCTTTGACTGCAAATTATATATTCAATCTGATTTTGGTGTTGCCCATCTGGTGATGTCCATGTGTAGAGTCGCCTCTTAGGTTGTGGGAAAAGGGTGTTCGCTATGACCAGTGTGTTCTCTTGACAAAACTCTGTTAACCTTCGCCCTGCTTCATTTTGCTTTCCAAGGCCAAACTTGTCTGTTATTCCGGTTACCTTTTGACTTCCTACTTTAGCATTCCAGTCCCCTATGATGATGAGGACATCTTCTTTTGGTGTTAGTTCTAGGAGGTGTTGTAGGTCTTCACAGAACCGATCCACTTCAGCCTCTTCTGCATCAGTGGTTGGGGCATAGACTTGGATTACTGTGATGTTGAATGGTTTGCCTCGGATTTGGACTGAGATCATTCTGTCATTATTGATATTGTATCCCAGTACTGACTTTTGCACTATCTGGTTGACTATAAAGGCCACACTATTTTTTTCTACGAGATTCCTGGCCACAATAGAAGATATAATGGTCTTCTGAATTAAATTTGCCCATTCCTGTCCACTTTAGTTCACTGATTCCTACAAATGGGCAAAATCAGCAACTGCCCATATATGTGCATTCTCTGTTGTGATGGAATGCCCTGCCTGAGGAGGTCAGGAAGGTTCCTGCTCTCCTGGCTCTCTGCAAACTATGCAAACCTGAATTATTCAAGAAAGCTTTTCTACACAGGCGATAGCATAGCACTGTACAAAATCCTTCACAAAGTTACTTGGATAAATTATTAGGAACTGTGGTCTATACTACTGTGTATAGCTTGCTTTAAATAGGATCCTATTCTGTAATTTTGCATCATTTAATGTGTCATGTTAACACTTTTGCTTTGCTTCAGTTCTGTATTTAAGACTTCTGATTGGCTCTACAACCCAAATCCTACTGCATTGTTATTGAATGTCTCATCTTGTTGATTGTATTGACTTGTAATCTGCCTTGAGTTCCAGTGAGCAAGGCAGACTATAAATACCATAAATAATATGCTCCCTATCCATAATAATATAAATCTGTAGCAAATTCTTATTATGTCTGAATAAGTCAAATTTAAGCTCTACCACCATCTTATTCAATAAAAATAAGAATTTATAAAGGGATTAAATGCACATAGGAATTTATTTCAAGAGCCACATGTAACTGAAAACTGTGCATCTAGCCTGGAGTAAATTCCTTATTACATATATATTTAGCTGACTTTAACAAAACTGTCTACCATTTTTTGTTTGATGTCAGTAGACAACAAACCCAGTAACCATTTTTGTCACTACAATATCCCTGGAATTTCCTTATCAATTTTACTCTACCACAGCAGTCTAATATATTTACTCTAGCATCACAGTCTAATATACTTTTACACTGTAACATTTTCATTCATTTTAGCTCAATGTTTCTACACTAAAAAAATAGTAAAATAATAAATACCCAGATAGTATCTCTAACGGTATTTATAATCTTAGCAGAAGAAAAGTTCAGAGGATACTATTATAAGAGTTACCCTCTTTAAAAATAAAATGAATAAATTAGAAGGGTTTTTTTTACTGTCTCAGGAATAATTTGATGGAGGATGGATTCTGAACTGACTAAATACTAAATGCCTTCTCAATCCAAAAATTATCTCTGATGATCTGACTGTCGAACACTTACTACTGTACTTACTATTAATATGGAAGTTATTCTAAAGATAATTTGCTTGACAGATGATAATCCTGCCATTTAAGAAACCTTAAAATATAGGCTGTAATCTCTCAAAACAGGTTGTGAACCATGAGAAAACATGCAAACTAAACAAAGATGCTTCAAGGGGAAGGGTCCTCAGGGATAGTTTATAATCCCCAACTCTTAAGGTCTTTGAAAGAGTAATCATCTACAGATTCTATAATTACATCTTTTTTGCAGCAGAGACCTTCCTGCCAGTGACTGAATTTTGTAGAATTTTATCATGGGGTGGTTAAGTTCTCGCCCTTATCAGAACTCTAACCCTTCTGCTTTTGCAAAAACTTCAAAGGAAGAATGAAAAAGACAACTAATTCTCTTTTTGATGGTAGAGATTTGTCTGTTGATTTTTTCCCCCCTCCACTATGACTGCTTGAATATTTATAACTTCTAAAATGCATACAGTATCAAAGAGCTCTGTAGTAACAATATCCCTTGTTGGCCTTGATCTGCCTGCTGCACCACTGATCCAGAGAGCTTGTCTTTATCAATGTGATAAATAGAGGAACCAAAGATACACAGAATCTCTTTGATTTTTGTTTGTTTGGGGTTTCTCCCCCCTCCCTTGTTCGGAGCTGGAAAACACAGCAGGGTACAGTTCATCTCCCGTCAGACCAAAAACTTCTTGTTCATCATTTGAAAGACAATCATAGTCAAATGTGCTGAAATACTTGGCCTTTCCATTTTCCGAATTTCATTTCTTTGTTTCACACTTCAGACTAAAAATAGTGGTTGGACAATAAGCTTTATTTGTATTTGCACCCTTCTTTGTCTACTGTGGAGGCAGTCTTCCCTTGCAGACCACATTCCTTTAGTACCTGGCATTTTTTGGCTTATTGAATGATACTGGTCTTGCATAAGTAGAAGTGGTTAATGCCAGACAAATACACTCTGTAATGGAGGACTGCCTCCACAACAGAAGAGGAGGCTCCACAAGAAAAAAACACCAGGCTTACCATCCAAGCCAATGAGTATGGTTAAACCCTTATCTGCACTTCCTAAAATACAGCTGACTCCAATACACAGAAATAAATGCATTTATGAAAGGACATGCAGTATGTGAAGAAGTAAATGATGCTAGGCTACTGCTCTCTGAGCAAACCAAGATCATAGGCTAGATATCTTGCAGTGTGTCATACTAACATCTAAGCATCTTCTAAAACAGTGCAACAAACTGTTACAGCGCCTGTCTTTTGTACTTACCAAGGAGGATAGATACATATGACATCTTGTGCAGCTACCTTGAGACGAGCAGCTGTTTCTTTTGCAAAAAGAACTTTAATTCTCGGCTGAATTTCTTCTATAGAAGAACTGGCAGCACAAATTTGTTCCAAATGATGGCAGATAGCTATGCACAGAATGCATTCTTCATGCATTTCCAAGATCTTCACCATTAGTACACCAGACTTACCACCTGAAAATTAAGCAGTGAAAAACTAATGAGATAAGGAAAACACACAAGAATGCACAGCTTCCTTGCTTCCTTCTCATTCTTTTTCCCTCTTTGTTACAAGCACAGACCTGGATAATAAGCCTGTTGGCAGTTTTGAAAAAGCATTGTACAAGCCTTCAATACATGCAAATGAATCCATCACCTTTATACATAGTTGTGTTGAGAGATAGAATGTAGTACTTTTCATCAAAATGCTTTAAAGTGTTTTGCAAAGTAAAATAGTCACCACAATAAGCTGGAATTTTATTTGACTGATGTGGACAATCTGAAGAGAAATGCTGCTGAACAGACAAATAGTTTCATACATGAGCAGGCCTTGATATACTGAAGATTTCCTGGAGCTTAAGTTCTCTTACTTTAGGTATGTCCAATAGCTAGATTGTAATCTACCAGTAGATCGCGGAGGGGTCAGAGATAGATCACCAGCCACACTTGGTCTCCTGGTTTGCTGGACTGTTTGCAGTTCTTTCTGGATCTTTGTCTCTCTGTTTTGTTTTTGCTTATTTTGCTTACCAGTAAATGACAGACGGTGCATTATAAATGGGGGGGGGGCCGCAATGAAACTAGAGATGTAAAATTTCCAGAAATTTTGAAGCTCGAAAAAAAACCCGGGTTTTTTCTGGGGTTTTTTTGGGAAAAAACGGAAATTTTTGGAAAAATTGAAAAAATGCTACATTAGCATTTCTTTTGTCTTTTCTAGATTGAAAGTCATTCTGTTACTTTAGGAACATAAAATATGACTATGGACATTTTTACTTGGCATGAAATTATCACAACTAGCATATTAAAAATATAGTGTATCCAAACAATTATTACAAACAGAATACCCACCCACATGCAAAAACAAAACTGAAACTTTTTTATTTTCTTCTGACAATCGCACCTCCTAAAGGAAGAAATGCACCTTGTTCTTGCATTGGAGAGTTCAGTTTGTAACCTAGGACTTGCTTGTCCTCAGTGCACAGAAATTAGATCAATCTGGTACCATACATATATACTCTCTGGTACCATATATATGTGTGTGTGTGTGAAATGATTTGGAAAATATTTGAACACCTTGTCTTAAAATATTTTATTCATCATGTTAAAATAAAAGTTCCATAATCAATTTTTTTTTCTTTTCTTTTTTCAATTTTTCGGGAAAAAATAAAAAGGCTTCAGGAAAAAAAATGGAAAAAACCCGTTTTCCCCCCAAATTTTTTCGGTTTTTTTCCCGGGCTTTCACATCTCTAGGTGAAACCCAACTTTAGTGGGTTAAAATCTAATTTGAAACTAATTTGAAACTTTATTTTCATGGTGGTAGATCACCGGCACTTTTAGCCGGAAAAAATAGATCACTACCTGTTTGAAGTTGGACATGCCTGTCTTACTTGATGGGAGGAGATACCCAAAAGTGAATGAAGACTTATCTAAACAAAGAAAAAGTTGCCTAAAGCTTACCAAGTAAGGGCAGCAGCCCAAACCTAAGAGGCACCAGCATGCCACAAAAGCAGATTGTTCACATAACTATGCACTTATTTTGGTCATTTAAATCACTATGATTTTGGTAATGTAGCAGTCAACAAGTGAGTTACAATGTACAGTTCTTGAATGTGCAAACAATATTCAATAGTAAATTGTCTTGTCCCATGTGGATAATGATAATGAAAGCCACACCCATAAACAGATGGGATCTCTGTACATTCGGGGGGGGGGCCTCCTCACACATACAGAAAAATATGACAATGTGAATTGACTAAAATGGGGGAGGACTTAAAATGGCTTACTGAAGACTAAATAGGCTCTTAAGGCATGGAATGTTAAGAACAGCTGAATGTCAGTTAAAGGGGGAAAGTATGAAAGGGATAAAATCAGCCTGCTGAAGCCCCTGAGAACACAGAAGAAGCCTGAAGGGAATGATTCTGAGGAGTGGGATGGGATTTCCAAGTTGACCTGTGATATTTTGCAAGCTCCCAAGTATTCACTATATCCAGTACTGAAGTGACTAACCCTCATTATGACAACTGAAGCAGCAAACCAAGGCCACCCACAGACAAAGCAGGGGTTTCTACATAGTTGAGGGTCTTCACAGAAATGCAGAAAATCCTCAAAAAACCAGTCTGATGTAGACTATGCTGAGAGCTACCCTGAGAGCTTGATGATTCTGGGGAGAAGAGTAGAGTGTCCAAATTACCTTCCTCACTCACCAGATTGCTCACAGGTTCTCAGCTCATAATCCATAGTATCTTCTAGTGGCAGTAGATAAAGAAGCTTGGACACAGTTTTAAAAAGATGCAGAGCTAGGAATAACCACTTGACATTTAAAATACTTCAGCATCAGAAGAGAAGCTCGAGTAAGGTTTACCAGGGTTTCTTAACGGGCTAGAAAGTACAGCCAAGAAGGGTTTTTAAGCCCCACATCAAAGGAGTTCTCTTCCAGTAATACATAAGCATTGCACATACAGCTGCCATATCAATTAGGCCCTGTACAGGCCCTGTATCATAGATTGTACAATCATGGATCACGGCCTTGTCGTGGCGAGCGGGCTTGAGCGGTTCGCTGATGCTGTGGGCTATGCCGTGGAGGGCCACCCAAGACGGAAAGGCCACAGCAGAGAACTCAGACCAAGTGTGATCCCCTGGAGAAGGAAATGGCAACCCACTCCAGTATTTTTGCCAAGAAAACCCCATGGACAGTATCAAAAGGCTAAAAGATATGACGCCGGAAGATGAGCCCCTCAGGTCGGAAGGTGTCCAATATGCTACTGAGGAAGAGCAGAGGACAAGTACAAGTAACCCCAGAAAGAGTGAAGCGGCTGGGCCAAAGCCGAAAGGACCCTCAGTTGTGGATGTGTCTGATGGTGAAAGGAAAGTCCAATGCTGCAAAGAACAATACTACATAGGAACCTGGAATGTAAGATCTATGAATCAAGGTAAGCTTGACATGGTCATAAGAGTGAAGCGGCTGGGCCAAAGCCGAAAGGACGCTCGGTTGTGGATATGTCTGATGGTGAAAGGAAAGTCCGATGCTGCAAAGAACAATACTGCATAGGAACCTGGAATGTAAGACCTATGAATCAAGGTAAACTTGACATGGTCAAAAATGAGATGGCAAGACTGAACATCGATATCTTAGGAATCAGTGAACTAAAGTGGACAGGAATGGGCGAATTTAACTCAGAAGACCATTATATCTACTACTGTGGCCAGGAATCT